GAGGTGTCGAGAACTCTCGACGGGGACGAGTACGCCCGTTCCCGTTTGCCTCTCTTTAAAGGTTTCGGACGGATCGCTCTCGGAGATGCCGCAAACTCTCGGCGGAGGCTGAGTACTCCCAACCCCGTTTTCTTTCTCTCTGAGCGTTCTAGGATCTAGGCGGTTTCCAGGCGTCTTACCGACTCTGGCGGTGCGGAAGATCTGGTCCTGATGTTCAGAAACGCGCTCTATTTATACCGGTTTTTGGCGCGCGCGTCTGCGTAATTCGCCTATTGTTCTAACGGTATCTGGTTTATCGTTGAACCGGCGCGCGCGACTCGGGTATTTTCGGTAACGGTCGGGCGGTTATCCGAGCGCGTCGTCGGCTCTCGATGTTTTCGCGCGCCTAATGGCGGTTAGATGTTTACGCGTTTCTGTTGTTATTTAAAAGTGGGCGCTCAGCGCCTCCGCATTTGCCCGACCGGTGTTCGTCGGGCGGCGGACTTCCGGCGGATCGGCGGCCGGGTACGGTTTAGTAACGATGGGGAATGCATCGTTACAACTGTGACGTCCTAGCCGCACGTCTAATTTGTAAATAAACATTAAATTTATTGTTAACGCACCCATAAGAGGTGAAAGGAATAAAATCTAAAGAGAATTGTTCATTCATATAGAGAGTAATATTAAATGTAGTATACATATTTGCGAATCACCCCGAATATAACCAACGCTCAAGCGCTCTAGCTGGTGACATAAAAATATCCGTACCACATAGACTATAAGAATAATTAAAAAGTAATAATTTTATATTTGCATTTGAAACTACACAGTCAGTCTGTTTGAGATTGCATTAAATTACATTTAAATTAATTTCTTCTTACCGACCGAGCTTTTATTTGGACTTTTTGTATAATTTGTGATCGTGTTAATTATTTTGTTATAATTAAAAAACGTGAATTGTACTCGCGAGATTTATTTTCCGCGAACCTAAAGATCCTCGCACACTTTTCCAATTTCGCCTCGCTCTCGATCACAGTCAGATTAACAATCTGAATGTTGCAAATTAATACATATATACACATACAGGATGTTAGAAAAGTCTGAAAACGGTCAAATATCTCGTAAACAATGCATTTTAGAAAAAAATGTTTCAGACAAAAGTTGTACGGTTTCGAGGGAGACATAAGGTGGTGTCATTAATTTGACCTTGAAATAAATTGTCGTGTCAATAGGCATCACTTACCGACGTGTTGCTGAGCGTGAATAAGAAGTGAACCGGCGGCTTCGATGATGGCAGGCTGCAATTTGCCCTCAACATGTCTCCTATATCGTAGCGCTCGCGTTTCAATACAATAACAGGTCTCCCACCGGGCAGAGCTGAAACATAATAATTTTGCGGGACTCTCTTATAGTTATTGTCAACGAAATCTGTGAAAGTCCGGCCGTGCAGGGCGGCGAATGCCGTAATCGTCATATGCGTGAAGTTAGCACTGACATTTTATAAAAAAAAATTGTGCTGTGTTGTGCTAGGCTTGTGCTACACTCTGCCGCAAAAGTTAATCAGATATCTAAAAAAACAAAGCGTTAAATTACAAAAATCATTTTTTTGCCAGCACCGTCATTTTGTTTTATCAACAAAATAAAAATTGTACTGGATACAGATTTAACTAATGTACATTGTGCCGCAAAACTTATACCCACATTTCTTCCCGTTCCAGAAAAAAAATTAAAATGTCAATATTGTCAGATGCAAAACTTCGTATATTGTCCGCGGCGACGAAGTGTCGAGTTTTAATGCTTTAAGACGAGCAACAAATTCAGTCTCTTATATATTTCGATAGTATATCGTCCACAGATTATTTTAATACCAAAAACATGCGACAAACAATTCTTTTAGTTAATTTTCCTTATGATACTGCGCACCGTATAGAGTCTGCGGAGAAAAAGTTTCGAGTTTTAATACTTTAAGACGAGCTACAAATTCAATCTCTTATATATCTCGATAGTATATCGTCCACAGATTATTCTAATACCAAAAACATGCGACAAACAATTCTTTTAGTTTGTAACGGCAGGGCCGTTACTACGACCGGTGTATAAGCGCCAAAAATATATATATATA